CCAGAGGGGGCGCTCCAGCGGGTCCCAGGGTGGCCTCACGACTCTCGAAAAACGCCCCAAGACGGCGCCAGAACGCACCGGTAGGATCCCAGGGCGGCACGTTTTTGAATTCCCCAAACTAGTTGTCTGAATTCAAAAAACCAGTTACTTGAATTCCAAAACGAGAACTCCCGTAAGGGGCTCGTAGAGCCCCAGGAGGGGATGGCCCAAGAGAGCGTCTGGACGGACCAGGAGCTCCAAGGGGGCCCCAAGACGCGCCCAGACGGCCCACGAGGTCTGGAGCGCCCTTCGAGAGTCCCCCCAGAGTCCCAGGTAAGCTGCCAGAGAGGCCTCCCAAGGCGGCCCCAAGGAGAACTCCATCGCAACTCTCAGACAGCAATTCAAGAGGGCACCCGAGAAAGCCCTGTATTCCAAATCGACCCAGCCCAGTTTTCAAAACGCCAGCTGCCTGCGGCAAGTCTCGCCACCCAGCCATCCCCAGTGAATTCTCGGAAGCGACTGTTCGTGGGGTGACAGGAGTGCATAACATGTGAAGGGGAGAAGGAGGAAGAGGACGGCCGTCACATGTGACACGCCTCGTCTTCACTTCTCGAGGAGCCTTCTTGGAGCTCATCTTGGGCCGTCTTGGGGGGCCAGTCTCGGCTCGTGTGAGGCAGTCTTGGGGGCCCCTTGAGGGGCCCTCTTGGGCCATCTTGGAGCTCTCTGGAGCCGTCTTGGGGCCATCTTGGCTATCCAGGGTCTTTTGGGGCCCCCGTGTGGCCGTCTGGAGCCGTCCTGGGGCCCTCTGGAGGCCCTTCTGGGCCAGCCGGCGCCTCGCTTGGGGGTCGTCCTGAGTCCTGGGCCGCCTTCGGGTCCTCTTGGCCAGTCCTGATGCCTTCTTGGAGGATTAGGGCCCTCTTGGTATCACTTCTGGGCCTTCTTGGGCCGTCTTGGTACCCTCTTGGTATCACTTCTGGGCCCTCTTGGGCCGTCTTGGGGCCATCTTGGAGGCCCTTTTAGGGCCGTCTGGAGCTGAAGGCAGCCCGAAAAGGTGAAGACGTCAAAATCTTTCTCAAACCTGAGGGGACTCAATGATGTCAGCCTCTTCGGGCCCTGCTGGGGGTCCTCTTGTGATCCTTTTGGGCCGTCTTGGGGCGCTCTTGGGCCGTCTTGAGTTCATAAATCTTGGGCCGTCTTGTAATCATCTTGGACTATTTTGGCAGCCTTGGTTGCCTGCTTTGGCCGTCTTGGAAGCTCGGGAGCGTGGTCCCACAGTTTTTTTTACGACGGGTCGTGGCCTCGATAGCTCATATCCATAGCTTTTAACCAACCATCGTGGCTTCGGGAGTGCGGATTCATTTTTAACTACATATCGTGGCCTCGGGAGCGCTGATCCATGTTTTTGTTACAAGGGATCGTGGCCTCTGGGGGGATGCACGCGACTGGGTGCGTCGAACGGGTGGTCGTCTCTGGGCAAGTTACACAAATCTTACCAGGTAGACCTGGCCAGAACCAGCAGATGCGTGGATCGACGTGGCCAGAACACCGAAATGGAATGAGCTGGAGCATAGTTTTGTGCATCATCCGTGAGCCTGCTAGCCGCGACGCCCCTGCCAGCCGCTTCAGACTGTTTGCTTTTTTCTGGCGCTCCAGCCCCGCCCCGCTTGGTCCCCTCGCGCGGACACTCCTTCGGGCGCCGTCACCGTAGCCTGGACATTCTACCGCTCACCGAGCGCGCTGCCCTGCTCGAGTTGCCTACTCGCAGACGCCCGGAAGTCAGATGTTTCCCTCGATGAAATGTCCAGCCACGCGCAGAGGGGTGTGGGGGCAGGGGGGAGGGCTTCTTACAGGCACCCCTGCACCTTAGAACGCACGGGCCCCATCTATAGCTGTGAGGCCGGCGCCCTCTAAGAAGCAGCCTCCCTCTGAGGAGCCCTCCCCCCTCCCTCCGCCCCCTTGCGCGCGCCGCCAAAACGTATCGTAGGCCCCCCGCGGCGGATCCGGGCCATCTGCGAGCAGTTCCTCTGCGGGACGGGCAAATGACCACAGCCACTGCTTCTTGTTTGCGCCGCCTTCCAGCCAGCCGAAAAAGAAGCAGCGGTTGTGGTCATTTCCCTGGTGCCGAGCGCAACGAAAATGACCACAACCACTGCCTTGTCCCTGCGGGCTGGAAGGCGGCAACAAAAGAAAAGCAGTGGCGGATCCGGGCCTCCTCCTCCTCCTCCTCCTCCTCCTCCTCCTCCTCCTCCTCCATCTGCGAGCAGTTCCTCTGCGAGCAGCGGAGCGCGCTCGTCGAACCGCGCCTCGGCCTGCCGTGGGGGAGCGGTGGCGGAGCGCCCAAGGCCCGCGCCAGAGGCCTCCGGGCTCCCCCACGGCGGGTCCTCCTCCTCCTCCTCCTCCTCCTCCTCCTCCTCCCCTCCTCCTCCTCCTCCTCCTCCTCCTCCTCCTCCTCCTCCTCCTCCTCCTCCTCCTCCTCCTCCTCCTCCTCCTCCTCCTCCTCCTTCCTCCTCCTCCTCCCCCCCCCCCCCTTGGAGTCGAGCCCTCACCTTGATGCCTCGCTCTCCTGGGGCTTTGCTGTGCTCTGGCTCGTCAGCACGTGTCACGTGAGCGGAGCTGCACCGTCAGTGCCGCGCTCTCCTGTGGCTTTGCCGTGTCCCTGCTCGCAGCGCACACCACCCAGGCCTGCGCCAGAGGCTTCCCAGTTCCCCCACGACGCCCCCCCCTTGGAGTCGAGCCCTCCCAGGCTCCTCTGGACGTACGATGTTCCAGCCTACTTTAGCCTTGATCACCAGAAAGAATCTCGAGCACCAAGGAAGTGCCGAAACTGGGGGGTTTTCGCGCGTCGGGCCCTGGGAGGCGCTGCTCGTTCGACACCGTTTCGACACTTTTCTGTGTGCTCGAATTTTTTTTTCTGGGATGTGGTCTAGGAGCAGCGTGACTCTGGAGCTTCCAGGCTGGGCCTGGTGCTCTGCAAGGCATGCCAAGTGCCGCCAAGATCTCAGAGGGCACCCATGCTATTTCTCCATAAGCTTTAATACCTCCACCATCCAGTGAAATCTTACCACTCACTCCTTTCTGATTAAAAATAAAATCTGATTTCCAGTTTAAACTTGGCAATTGAACATAGTTTTGCTCTCCATCTACAATGGAAATATGACTATCCGTGGCCCAAGAGGCCCCGAGGGAGCTGCTTCAAGACGGCCGCAATACACCAGAAGAAGGTTCGAAAAGGACCCCTAGGCAGCCGAAAGGAGTGAAGCCAACTTATGACTTTCTTTGGTTTTTGGCTGTCATCGGAATTCCCCCTTTCGGCTTCAGATGGCTCCGACATGGTCCAGGAGGGGCCAAATGCTGCCCAAAAGAGCGCCAAGCGTGGTCAAGAAGCGTCCCAAGATGGCCAAACTGTCCCGTGGAGCCCTCGAGGGCCCAAGAGAAACCCCAGATGGCCCCAAGACGGGCCAAGACGGCCCCACGATGGCCCAAGACGGCCCCACGTGGGCCCAGGCTCGCCCGAAGAGGGACCAAGAGAGTGGCAGAGGACGCCCAGAGTTACACAGAGGACGTCCAGTATGGTCCCACATGGCCATTCACGGACCCAAGAAGAGGCCAACACGGCCCAAGGCAGCGCAAGGGGGGGCGGGGTGGCTCAAAGGTGAGAGGGGACCCCAGTGCCCAAGACGGCACCACGAGGCGCCAGGATTGCCGCAGTATGTAGGCCTCGGGAGGGTCCATGAAGCGCCAAGATGTTCGCTACCCCTCCGTCGTCTTCCTTCGCCCCCCTCCTCTCGGCGGCACCCCAACGTACTAGTACTGTGTGCGCTTCGCCCCCCCCCTCGGGGGCACCGCGTGCACCGCCGAGCACTCTTACAGTATATGCGGCGTGGCGGGCGCTTTCTGGCCACACCGCTCGGGAAACGATGTACTACGAGATGGGCATAGTACATGTTCGGGTCGGACGCGCGCCTCCAAGGAGGACATGTAGTACTAGGATGTCCTTGTGCGTCCCGCCCTCCCTCGTGTGTTCCTTGCCGCCTCGTTTGGCTTGTCAGCAGAGTTGGTTTGCCTCTCGCCGGGGCGTGTCAGGCTAACGGGCTGAGCTGCGAGTGGTGCCCGCCTGCGGACACCTCAGCTTTTCCGCGCGCCTCTGAACTCAGGGGTTGATGGCTCCTTCTTCTCTTGCCTGCCCCTCCATGCGATTCATACGACAGGTTTGTGTCGCGTCGACGCGGCGGCGATCCCAGCGCGGGCGCTCAAGGTTGAACGCCGATAATGGCCCAGAGTCTGTCGACATCGATATATCTGCGCCATCGGAAGGCCGCGTGCTCGATCAAGGTTGAACATCCACTATCAAGGGCCAATGCACAAGGCGACACGGCACGAACCTCGTTCAGCAGCAGAGATTCGCCAGCGGGCCAACCAGCATGCCACATGCTAGGCTGCTGGGCCGACTTGCGGCTGAGCTGTCCGTTTGCGCACAGCTCAGCGTTGTCTATTCGAGAGCCGGTCGCTGCTAATCCTCTCTCTTCCTCCTCTTCCTCCACCTACCCCTTCTTCTCTGTCTCTTCCGAGAGGCATGGCGAGAGTTGGCTCCAGATTTCGCCGTGTGGGCGTGCGCGCTGTGCTCTGCTCCGAGTGTACAGTAGCACGATGTCCTGCCCACCGCGGGCCTTTTCAAGCCAGGACTTCACCGTTCACCGTTCCCCAGGTCCTCGTCCTCGTCCTCGTCCTTGTTTCGGCATCCGCCCAGTCTTCACGCCGGGCGGTCGCAGCCCATTCTGGGCACGTGGCGGCACAAGCGGCATCGGAAATGCGCCACCCACCTATGGCCCTGCTCGAGACGATGGGATATCATAGATAAATCAGGGGGCAGAGGAAACAATGATGGGAGAGGAGCGGGATAGGAAGGAGTAGGAGGAGGAGGAGGAAGAGGAGGAGGAAGAGGAGGATGAGGAAGAGGAGGAGGAGGAGGAAGAGGAGGAGGAGGAGGAGGAGGAGGAGGAGGAGGATGGCGGCCCGACAAGGAGATCGACTTCGTGGCCATCAAGGAGCTGATGACCGCCAGGCACACGGTCTCGCTGGTGGACCGTCACGTCGCGGCGATCCGCAAGGTTGCGGCGCCGTCCGTTTCCCATCGCTTCAGCTTTGGGCGCTCCCTCTCCCTTCCTCCCTCCTCTCTCCTTCCTCCATCCATGGTGGTAGTGGTGATGATTGGGACTCCTGGGACGATGCTTTTGGGACTCTGAGTGCGATGCCGCCGGAGCACGGTGGCGGAAGGTCTGCAAGACCTGCTGCAATGGCTTCCTGCTGAAGCACCTGCAGCACCTGGTGGAGCTTCTGCAGCTCACGATCCAGCGGTTTTCGGAGGCACTGTGCCGCCCGCCCACGGCGCACTTGGGCGGAGGAGGATGACGGGGAGGAGGAGGAGGAGGAGGAGGAGGAGGAGGAGGAGGAGGAGGAGGAGGAGGAGGAGGAGGAGGCTGAGGAGCAGGCCGAGCAGGAAGATGAGGAGGAGAAGGACGAGACGGGAGGCCGGGGGGGAGGGGGGAGGGGATGACGATGGTGGTGGTGATGACGACGATGACGATGACGATGACGATGATGATGATGCTGCTGCTGATGATGATGATGATGATGATGCTGCTGCTGCTGATGATGATGATGATGATGATGATGCTGGAGATGCTGCTGCTGCTGCTGCTGATGATGATGATGATGATGATGATGATCATGATGAGGAGGAGGATGATGATGATGATGATGAGGAGGAGGAGGAAAAGAAGAGGAGGATGAGGAGGAGGACGAAACGAGATGAGGGGTGATGAGGAAGGCTTCACGATACTTCAGTGTGTTTGTGTGTTTGTGTGTGTGTGTGTGTGTCTGTGTGTGCATGTGTGTGCCCGTAGCCTTTGGCTCAAGCCTCTGGTTCAAGGGAGTTTGGCTCAATGCCGCTCTGTGTCAAGCCGCCAGCCGCCAGGAGGCCATTCCCCTATCCTGTCTACCTACGCGTCCCTCTTCAGGCCTTCGCGGCGCTCGTGGCGGTCACCAGTCTGCTGACGGGTGCGCCTGCCATTGGAGGGGAGAACTCCTCGCGGCGGCATGGGACACAGGCGCTCGCCTGCCTCTCCCCCGCCAGCAGCATGCCCGCGTGCGCTGTGATGCCGTCGTCGGCGGAGAGCTCTGACACGGAAACGGGCGGCAGCTCGCCCCTGAGTGTTGATGCTGGATAGAGGGGGTGGATGGGCGGCAGCTCGTCCTTGGATGTGGCCGCCAGCAGGAGACGCGCTGAAAGCTGAGGCAGCCTACCCTGCTTAGGCAGTGAGATGAACACCATTCTGGCCTTGAGCCAACATGGCTACCGGAGGAGGAGGAGGAGGAGGAGGAGAAGGAGAAGGAGGAGGAGGAGGAGGAGGAGGAGGAAGAGGTGGAGCAGGAGGAGGTGGAGCAGGAGGAGGAGGAGGAAGAGGAGGAGGAGGAGGAGGAGGAGGAGGAGGAGGAGGAGGAGGAGGGCACCCCCGTGGAAATGCAGTGTCGTGCAGGGGCCTTTGAGCCCGAAGAGCCCATAGGAGAAAAGAGGTCTTATGTTTTTTCCGGCTTGGACCCACGCCCGATGCGTGGTACGAGGAGGAAGAACAGAATGAAGAGGGCACGCTCCTCCGCAAACGTTATCCAATACGAGCCTGAGGATCGCAGAGAGTGCGACATTGGCCTTGGCCACGTGGGCGCAGGCTTGTCGGAGGATTGTGCCTCTGCGCTTTCGCTCTCTCCAGGGTCTCCCACCGCTCATTTTTGCTCTGCCCTCTTCTTCCCCCTCGCATCCGCTTCTCTTCTCTGTCTTTCCAGCCCTCCGCTCGGTCCGCTCCCTTCCGCCCGCTCGGAATCTTCGCTCGCCTTCGAATCTCCCTCGCTCTTTTCTCCCTCGCACCCCGTCGCCCGCTCGGAATCTTCTGTACCGCGTTTCGCGGGCGGCTTCTGCGCGCGCGCTGCTTCCTGAGGTTGTTTCCGTTCACTGTGGCATGCGTGACAGACCAGCCTCCCCACACCCGCCGCCCCGTTCTGTCTGCCTGCCTGTTAGCCAGGGCCTGATCGAGTTCGCCCCTGCCATCTGCGACTTCACGCGCGTGGCCTCGCAGCCGCTGGTGAGCTGCAGGGCCTCTGACATGATCACCTACGGCCGCGACTGAGGGGTGGAGGGGAGCACGAGGCGGGAGTGTAAGGGGATGGGGAGATGGATCGGGAGGGGAGGGAAGAGAGAGATGTGGACGCTGAGGAGGAGGAAGCGGGGATGAGGAGCGGGGCGTGATGATGACTGGTGACGACGATGATGATGATGACGAGGATGAGGATGAGGGTGAAGATGAGGATGAGTATGAGGATGAGAATGATGATGATGATGATGATGGTGGTGGTGGTGGTGTTGGTGGTGATCATCATGATGATTACGATGATGCTGCTGCTGATGATGTTTATGATGACGATTTTATTGTTGATGGTGATGATGCTGATGCTGCTGCTGCTGATTATGATGCTGACTAGGCCGATGTTGATGATGATGGGGACGGTGATGATGATGGTGAAGGTGAAGGTGAAGGTGACGATGATGAAGGTGATGAAAGATGGTGATGGTGATGCTGATGATTATGATGAAGATGTTGTTGATGATGATGACGATCATCATGATGCTGATGGTTATGATGATGCTGATGCTGTTGATGATGATGACGACGACCATGATGATGATGATGATGATGATGATGATGATGATGATGATGATGATGATGATGATGATGATGGCGACGACGACGGCGACGACGATGATGATGATGATGATGATGATGATGATGATGATGATGATGATGATGATGATGATGATGATGATGATGATGATGATGATGATGATGCTGATGATGCTGCTGCTGCTGATGATGATGATGATGATGATGATGAGGATGAGGATGACGATGCTGATGATGATGATGATGCTGATGATGATGATGATGATGATGATGATGATGATGATGATGATGAAGATGATGATGTTGATACTTCTGCTGCTGCTGATGATGATTCTGACTCTGATGATGATGCTGATAATGAAGAAGAAGGGGGAGGTGGAGGAGCAGGAGCTGGAGGAGGAGGAGGAGGAGACACATTGCTGGACTCATCATTTTTGTTCCGGAACAACATTCCACTTAGTTTCGCAAGACTGCGGGCATGGAAGGACGCTGCCGCTGCACGCTGCCGCAGGGGCTCCAGAAACATGGCACCTCAAACCTGATGTACTGCAGCACCTGAGGGAGGAGCTGGGTGTTGTGTGTAAGTTTTCCCGCGTGCGCTACGGCGGATGCGAACAAGCACAGGGGTCAGCCGAGTACCCTTCCGGGATAGCTCTGCAGCTGGAAGTATGCTCCACAAGCATGAGGCCGCATCCTTAGCGGTTCGAGCCTTCCAGGCAGTGTTCAACGACGTTTGGAAAAAGACGTGTTTCCAGACTGGGGTTGCATGGAATCCAGCCTACGAGCTACTGGAATAGTGTGGAGCAGTGTGGCGTGATACGTGTCCTGCTATCTTGCCTGGGCAGAATGTTTGTAGGCCCGAGCCGGTGGGTTTTACATTCTGCGTGTGCAAGCTATGTGGTGCAAGCAGTTGGTGGAAGCAGTGTGATTGACTCTGTGTGGTGTAAGCAATGTGGTGTAAGCTATGTGGTGCAAGCTAAATAGTGCAAGATATGTGGTGCAAGCTGTGTGGTGCACGCTATGTGGTGTAAGCTATGCGGTGCAAGCTGTGCGGTGCAATCTGTGTCGTGGAAGCTACGCGGTGCAACCTACATGGTGCAAGCTGTGTGGTGGAAGCCCTGGTGCAGGTGAGCTGTGTGGCGCAAGCCCTCGACGACGATCGTCATCGTCGTCGTCGTCGTCTTCGTCTTCGTCATCGTCTTCATCTTTGTCGTCTTCGTCACTGTCGTCACTGTCGTCGTCGTCGTCGTCGTCGTCGTCGTCGTCGTCGTCGTCGTCGTTTGTCGTGCACGCTGCGTGGTGCAGGCGAGCCGGCGCACGAGGCGCCCCCCAGGCGGCCACGGGGATGCCACCGGGCGGAAAGGCCATGAGCCGCCAGCCAGCGAGCGGGGCGCCCACGAGGCGCCCACGGGGCGGCCACGGGCGGCAGCCGAGCGAAGCACGGGCCGCCAGCCCGCGAACGAGGCGCCCACGAGGCGCCCACGGGGACGGAGGGTTTCGCCGAAGGGCTTAGGCGACCCGTCCTCCTCCTCCTCCTCCTCCTCCCTCCTCCTCCTCTTCCCTCCTCCCTCCTCCTCCCTCCTCCTCCTCCTCCTCCTCTTCCCTCCTCTTCCCTCCTCCCTCCTCCTCCTCCTCCTCCTCCTCCTCCTCCTCTTCCTCCTCCTCGTCCTCCTCCTCCTCCTCCTCGTCCTTCTCCTCCTCCTCATCCTCCTCCAACGGGAGGCGATTGGGCGAACAACCCCGAGCCGCAGGCCACTGCTTAGGAGAGAAGTGAAAACCACGAAGTGCAGGCATCGGTCCGCGAAAGCGCGCAGATTGAGAGTCCCGCGTCGCAAGGGCGGGCACCCATTCCTTGCATCGTGCGGGGCGAAATTTGTTGAGACGAGCAGCGAAATGTGCGCCTGAGCATAACGCAGCAGTTCCAGGCGCTCGCGCAGGTTAGTACCAGGCTCCGACGACAAGAGACCATGGAGCATCATTGATCTCTACGTAACTGGCTCCGACGACGTTCACCAGTTTGCGCGGTGTTTCATGGAGCTTTGGCCTGCCTTGGAGCGTGCAGCACAGGCCTTCATATTTGCGAATGTCTGTCCGCAATTCCGCCCCTCCTCTCCCCTCCTCCTCTTGTCCCCCCCCTCCTCCTCCTCCTCCTTCTCCTCCTCCTCCTCCTCCGCCTCCTCCTCCTCCTCTCCTTCCACTTCTCTCCCGCGGTGTACCAGCCTGTCCTCCCGTGGAGTGCCCAGAAGTTGTGCACCGATTCCGCAACAATCACGGCCCGGTGTTTCAGTTCTCCTGCTCCTTTCCTCTCCTCCTTCCTCCTCCCTCCTTCCGCTTCGTTCCCCTGGCATGTCCTGTGGCATGCCAGCCCATTCGTCCACATTGCTGGGAGCGCGTGTCTGTTGGGCAATTTTGTTCGACAGCATCGCGGCCTTCTGGTCCAAGTCAAGGTTCCACGTACGGGCTCGCTTATCGCAGGTTGGTCGCGTCGTCCTTGCGGGTCTGCTTGGGGCCGCCGTGCACGAGTGCCTGGGGTTGGCGTTGCGATGGGCAGGAAAAACAAGAGTCTGGACCTTGAGAGCACGGTGCGATTGGAGGGGGCCGCGAATTCGGTCCCTCCTTTGTCACACAACCCTCGAGATCTGCAGTGGGGGCAACCAGGGAAGAAGCTGTGGGTGCAAATCGCCAAGCTGCAGGCTCAAGAGCTCCTCTCCAGGAGATGCGTGATGGCAGTGCGGCCGATCTGTCTTCGTGTTGCTCGACACCTACGTTGGCTGCTTCAGAATGGACGGCGACCTCGCCTCGAAGCGCCGGCCAAACTCTATGGCAGGTACTGCGTCAACGTAGTGTTGGACCAGGGGCTCGACTGGCCGACCCGATTTCGAGGACGACACCTGGCAGGCTGACGCACTGGAAGAGCGTGATATACCGCAAGCCAGACTGTGCGTCGACGGGGCACTGCGCCGACAGGCGCTCGCAGCAGCCGGAGTCGCCACGTGTGCGTGTGAGTCTTCGCTTGAGCGTGTGCTGCTTCGAAGAGCTGGTCGTTGTCTTGGACTTCTGTGCAGAGCTCCTTCGAGGCCGAGCTCGCGTCGCTGGAGCGGGGTGTCTGAGAGAAGCGGTCGTACGGGCAGGGCAGACGGCTGGACGCGGGGGGTAGGGAGCCACATGCGAACCCTACCCCTACCCCCTACTATTTCTGAGGGGGAGGGTGGGGTTCACTTCGCACAGCACAGCGCAGCGGGTGGGTCGTTGCAATGGGGCCCAAGAGGAGAGTAACGGGCAGCGTCGGGGTGAAGGATGGGCTCAGGGAGAGAAGCATCGCCCCCCCAATCGCTCATGGATCGCGAGAAGGGGCGTGATAAATTAG